AGTTAGCAGTTTCTATGCATACAAACCTACATAGATATCTTAGATATGGTAACAATATTCCCAGAAATATAGCTGAGGTAAAACACTTGTTATTTTAGAATGGATCTAGCTTTCCTCTTGCTCTGCTAATAAATACTACTGTAATAACATGGTCTGTTAGAACACTAGATATTTTAGGAAAAAAGCAAATGAACACAGGAATTATCCCACATTAACTTGGTGAGATTTCACCAAAACCTTTTAAGCTTTTATTCTAGTTAGTACTTTTATAGTAGACAGAGTGAATTTTAATCGTGATTGATAGCTCAGTAACTTCAGAAATGATCTGTGATATTTGCTAGCCTACATGTCTCTGGCCTCTTTCTAGACATTTGAAAATCAGTGTTTGAAGGTGGGTACTAAAAAGGACATTTATATATTCCCCAGTGGGTTTAGGGATTTAGCTCAGTGGCAAGATGCTGGCCTAGCACGTGCAAATTTGGTCCTTAGCCCTGGAAAAAGAAAAAAGAAACAAATAAAACAAAACAAATATATTTCCCTAGGTAATTCTCAGTACACTAACTTGAGAATTATCTAATTAGAAGATACTTTTGATTGAATTCCTATAGTTATTGCAGTCCGAATTGAGCCTTTTATAAGCCACATTTTATGATCAAATTTTAAAAGTAATACAAATATTGCTCAATCTAATTTATATGATCACTGTCACAGCAGAAAACAGCAAGTTGCACACTAATACACTGAACATTTCAGGCTAAACATTTACCTTAAAATTTAACAAAAACTATTGCTTCCTTTGAATACAGAACTAAAATATGCAACTGAACAACACTGGTGAACATATACACATATTTTAGTATTTTTTCATATTCCTGTTCCTAATATCAAAAATGGGGGGAAAATTAAAATTGACTAAAGTTGCTTTTTAATTTTTAAATTTCTTTCCAAATATAAGGCAGTGATTTTAAGTAAACCATACCCATGACTCACAGAAAAAAAATGTGCTTTAGGTATACACTTTTAAACAGGTACTGTGGTGCACATTTGGAATCCCAGCTACTTGGGAGGCTGAGGCAGAGGAGTATCACCAGTTGGTCAGCCTGGGCAACTTAGTGAAACCCTGCCTCAAAATAAAATAAAAAGGGATGGGGATGTAGTTCAGTGGTAGAATGCTCCTAAATTCAATCCCCAGAACTGCCAAAATTAAGTGTAAACTTTTTTGCCCTGACATTAGTCCCCAGCTTCAGATCAAGAGTATCAACCTGTCAAGAGCTGAAAAGAGCTGGAGAGAGGCCTGGAATTTATCAAATCCAACTTTTACTAATCAACAGTCATGTCAGTAACAATTCTGAGTTTCCCAGTTTCTGCTGAAACAGTGTTACTGACAGAATCCTTACTTCATGAAGCAGGTAGTGCAGTGGGACAGCACCTTAATACAGAACCGTAATCTCTGAAGTTCCACTTTTTGGTTTTAAGACATACTTCTCTCCTGAATAAGTTCTTCATATATTACCAGACAGTTATCATGTATATCCCCCTTAGCTGCCCTTTGTCTCTTCTTCATGCTCTACATCTCATCAATACTAAAATGCACATTCTCCTCATGAAACATTTAAAAAAATAACCATGACTCACAGAAAAAAACTGGTGGCTTATTATAGTTTAAGCAACCTTTTCTTCCTTAGTGGAACATAAATTGATAATTGTTGAAATTGTTGGCAATTAGGTTTGCTGAAATACAATAATTATCTCACTTCCTTAACTTTTTCAGTTAACCACAGAAACAAAATCATTCAGTTCAACTTCTTACCTTAGGTAAGAACACTCTTCAGCCAGTCTCTCTTTGGTTATGTTTTATAAAAGTTGAGTCCGGTGCCTTGCACAGCAGCTAATTTCAAAATCTTATTATGGGGCTGTGGATACAGCTCAGTAGTAGAGTGCTTACCAAGCATGTGTGAGACCCCCTGGGTTCAACCTCCCTACCCCCCACAAAATTACATGTTACTTTTAAATATTTGCATTGAAATCTCTTATTGGTCCTTTTTCTACTCTTTCATCAAATTAATGTCTTTCATTGACAGTTCTTGAAAAGACAAATACTAGGTCTCCAAAGTTTATTCTCTAATGACAAGTATCCCTAATTCCTTTTTGGTGGGTAACACTTTAAATTTTGTAAAATGGGGATACTAACACCCACCTACCTTATCAAGCTATTCTTTGAACAGGACACAATAATTAAACATTCAGTATATTGCTTGGTAGCTAGGAAGCACGCCACAACTCCTTTCCCTTTGGCTAATGTGACAGCTCTTAAAACACAGCATTCATACTTGACCTGACATTTCAGATGTGTATTTTTAAGACAGCAGGATCCCCATGTTGTTTTCAGCAGTGCACTTTTCTTAATATAGCTGAAGATTACACTCATTATTTTTAGTAACAGAATCACAATTGATCTTAATTTACATATAAACAATGTTAAGCCATGTTATAGCTAACACCCTCCATTTTTATTTTCACATCAAAACTGCAAAACTATATCATTATTCTGATTCACTATACCCTACTTGATTAAACGTAATACACTATGCTTTTGGGTTAGCTTTAGATCCCAATTTTGACTGTTGATGCATTTATGCACTTCATATCCCAGATGTGTCCTCTATTCATGATATGATCTAATTCACAGGTAATGCCAGTGGGCAAGAAAAGTTGGGACATGTCATTGGGATCTAGCTTTTAGAAAGTAAAGACATCTCGACAAACATCTGGCTTATCTCATTCTCCACAGACTTTTTCTTTTTTTTTTTTTTTTTAAATCCCCAACACTAAGAATGGAACCACAACGGACTCAAGAATGGTAGGCAAGTGCTCTACCACTGAGTACACCCTGACCCTGCAGAGACTGCTAATGGAATCTAGTTAGTATGTATTTCTGCTTCTTCTTTATAAACTACATAGACAAAACATGGTTAAGAAAAACACTTAATACATCTGTTTCTACACACACTTTTAGGTTTTCAGCAACTGTTTTTGCAAAATTGATGTTATTATTAATGCAAATCTAAGTTAAATGAAATAAGTGATTCAGAGCCATGCTCAGATGCCTTATATATTATAGATAATGGATATAACAGAATGGAAGATATATGGTTTGTGAATGAAAGAGGATTCAGAGGAAGAATCGATTCTAGTGTAGAGAGGAACATTTGAAAAATTTTGAAAATTAGTTGATGCTTAAAAATATTCTTGCGAAAATGAAATTATAGTAAAAGTAAATTATTTCAAAGCCCAATGTTTTAATTTGTACATTTTATTTTCAAATTGAAATATCAAATTAAACCACTCAGTGAACAAGTATTAATCAAGCACCTGCTGGGTCCCGATTTCAGTGGCAAAAAAATAAAAGACCAGTTAAATGGTTGGCTTTATTATAAATACTGTAAGAACTTAAATAAACTTTGTTATTAATTAAAATTCATTTTATCTGAGGAAAACTATTTGTGCAAATGAAATTCAACCATATAAATTATAGTACCACTTCAAGAAATACCAAATAGATTAAAGGACTTCCTTTTACAACTAAATAGAGCTTTTGTTTCCAGAAAGCCAATTATAGTTTCATCTCAAAATTTATGTAACAGTGTACAAATGTATTCAACTAGCTATACAGGGGAATATGAACAGAATTAAACCTAAGAAAAATCATAAATTTAGTAAGTTTAAGTCAAATCCTGTACGTGTACAAAGAATTGAGTGTTGTATTAGTTTAATATAATATTTTAAAGATTTTAAGTATAATTTTTAAATTTTTAAATGTGTATTTGAACTCAATAGGTAACTTCTAATATCAACAAGTTATAAAAATTTTGATAATCCAGGATATAAAAAACCCCAGAAAACTGGAAAGTGTACACTTAATGTCTACGGCAGTTAAAAAAGAAGGAAAAACACAACAAATCACTTGATACGAGCTGTCTTCATTATGAGTCATATAGTCCCAATCATGATCATGTTTCAGCTGAGACTTTAATTTATGTTTTCATTCATCAGAATAAAGATTCCCTCCATTAACTGTGTTTTTCTTCCTATTTATTTTTTATGGTTATGTTGTAAAAGGTACATTTTACAAAACAAATTATTATGAAAAGATGTAATCTTTAAGGAAACTGCTTTTTAGCATTTGATTCTGGTTTATATCAACTATGGTAGGGTTTTATTTTATTTTATTTTTGCACAATACTTATGATAACCTAACTGCCATCTTTCCTACTGAGGAGATGCTTTGGTTTAATTCTGACAAGTAAAAAATCCTGATATTTTTGTCAGTTTCTAATATCTCAAAATACATAGAAAAAGGTAAATTTTAAGTCATTTTTCATTCCTGATACACAAACACATCAATGTCATAAATGTTTAATTTTCAAACAATGATTTGGTAAATGTCAATAAACGTTCACTCTTATAGAAAAATAGGTTAAAAATGAAAAATTTAAAAATTTAAAACTCACTGGCTTTTTTCTACTATAGTTCTGCTTTGGTAGCTTCAGTCTTTAAACATTTTTAAATATAGTATTTATATGAGAAAAGAATTCATCAACCCATAAAAATGAAATATCCAGGCCAGCAAACTGAAGGTAAAGTCTACCCCACCTTGCTTTTTGTCTTACCTTAATTTGTGCATTACTTCATAAAGATAGATCTCAAAACTCTATCAAATTCCTCACAGAGAAAAAGTGTTCCCATTGGGCCCCGAGAATGTTCCGTATGCTGCCATAATCCATTTTTAAAAGTTTTCTCCAGTTAATCTTTTTGTCTACATTTTTAATCTACAAGTAAAATGGTTTGCTATGGTTCTATTAAATTATTTGTTGAAAGCTGCAAAAGACACTTTAAATTCAGTCATACCATTCAGTTTGATATTTGCAAAACTTGTTTTCCCTCTAATTTTCATGTTGAAGAAATAATTTCACAATTTAAAATCAAAGTCAACACTGCAGTGAGGAGAGCTTTTCTACTTTATTACAAAGAGAAGAAGCCTTTATGTGGTCAGAAAATACAAGATTGATCTTTTTTTCTCTTCCTATGAAACGCTGCTGTTCAAACAGCCAGAGTGAATTGTCTCAGTTCACTTCTTTAAGTCCCATCACATTCACTTGGGTATGGATGTCCTTGGCTGCTGAAAATCTGGCCCTTTAGTGCACAGGGCGACAAAGTCCCCTGACCAGCAGTTCCAGAATGTCCCATTTTCATATATTGCATCCATGCACACCTCCTAAAAATGAGGTACAGCAGGGCAAACATTTTCCAAAATAGATGTCATATATATAATATATACACATTCGTACATACATACCTTTATTCATGTGATGTCCAAAAATTTAAAAAAAATGTACACATTTATTACAAAATCGTAACAAAGACTGGACAGTGTTTTGCTCATTCTGGAAAGATGAAGCTCAGTAATAACACAACCCTGGAGACCATCCAGAGATTGTGGCAATATCATTCTTTTAAACAGTCAGATATTCTTGCATTAAGCTTGGCGAAACTGCCTTTCAAAAACAGAAGGGGAAGTAAAATGAAGGAAGCAGACCTTGCTCATCTTTCCAAATGAAATACGAGAAGGATCTTCACATAAAAATGCACAAACATTTGTTATTTTATTACCAATAGTGCTACAATGAACAAAGCAAATTTTGTGGTCTAATTTTGTTGAGTCTTTTGTGGGTTTTCTTTTTTACATATAAGAAACTAAATGGTAAACTTCTGTCAGTGTACTTGCTTGTCTTTACAGACCCAAGTCTGTCTGCTGGCAAAAATGAAAATAAATGAAAAAATTCAGACCCTGCTCAAACTAGAGAAAAACAAATTATAAATTTAGTTGTTGGGCAGCACATAATTAGTAAGGCAGGACCTCAAATGGTGACCCTTTACGTAAGCCAATTGCCAGATCCTCAAGGAATTACAACCAGGGTGCCTGAGCCACATCAGTTCTGCAGTTATGTTGAGTATTGTGCTGAGACAGCCATACCCCAAGAAAAGGGAAGTCTTTTTAGAAGGCTTGTTGAGCAGGGTTGTAGTTGAAGGTGGATGGCAGATGAGGCCGTTCTTCTAATTTATCATATTCCAGATGGAACTCCTACCAAAAAAAAAAAAAAAAAAAATCATGAAATAAATTGATTTCATCTTTTTGATCTCAAAATTTTATCAGAATACATTTTACCATATGAACCAATTAAAATAACTACAGAAGAATGGAAATACAAAGAAAAATGTTATTCTATTTTATAAGTACAAAATTGTAGAATTTCTGCATCTAAGTTGAGACTATTCATGAACATTTAGTAAAATGTTATAAATTTGTACTTAAAGGGAGAAAAATCACTAAACATTTAATGCAAAGCACTGAAGATTATAGCGTATTTAAAAAAAAGACCATTTCATACTCTCAAAAGTTCAAAAACCTAAAAATTTACTTTTTGCTCATGAAAAAGTTCAAAATGAAGATTTTTCCTATTTGTCTTTATCATGCTTTATTTTAAACAAGTAAAATTCTTCTAACTTCATAAAAATCTGAGGAAGACAGTGACCTTAAAACTCACACTCCAGAACTTCCCATTTCACAAACTCAAAACCCCAAACTGCCAAAGCAAGACAGTACTTTTGCTGTAGGCATATCCGATAATTAGATTGTTCATTTTAAGCAAACTTTCAAAACTCCATGAGTTTTAAAATTTAAGAATGGTAATTTTTTCAGACTCCTTTCCTCCATGCTTAAAGAACAGAAATGCAAATATAACTATGTATACTGAGGGGAAAAACAACAAACACCTCTGCAGCTGCAAAAAACAGACACTCTAAAATTACTAATACTATAACCTGAATTTAATTAGCACTGACTATCACTACATATTTCCATATAAAGATTCTCTCAATATGAATTATATATTAAAGATTAAACTAGTGACATTTGCAACCATGCGTTAACATATTTTACCTGTGTCTAGTTTCAAACTGATTTCATAATGTTTCCATTATTAAAATGAAAACTGAAGTCATGTAATCAAAATTTCAGATATAGAATCACGTATTTAAAGTATATTACAACTATAGACAAACCACTTACAATTATTAAAAGCCTAGTATGTGCCAAAGCTATAATTATTAAAAGCCTAGTATGTGCCAAAACTAGAGACATGGCTAATTTTATCCCAAATTTTTATATTAAACTCAACAGTAGATATTATTTTCACTTTGCACCTGAGGAAACGAAGTTCACATGTAACTTACCCAAGGCATATAAGTGGAACTCCTAGGATTAGGATCCAGACCCATGTGACACCAAAGCTTTTGTCTTTTCTAGTGTAACACATTTTTTAAAATATGTTTAGCCCAAGTTCCAAAACAGATTTACTTCAAATATATCCAATCCAAAAGTAATTTTGAAAAAAATTATTTCATGATATTAGTTTATAAAGTAAGAACATTGTTGTGACTCTGGCTTTTTAAAAAGGTTCTTTTCAGATGATTCATAGTATGAAGGTTATTTGCTTAACAGTAAAAACTAACAAACACCAAAACTACCACAGCCACAGTATCTGCCTAATGAACTATGGTAGCTGCCTTTCGCTCTTCCCTACCCCTACCTAGGAACTAAAAGATTTTTATTGTTTGAAGTTGATTATCCAAATTAGTAATTTAAAAAATCATTTTTTAAAATCATTCTTTTCAAATTAAAACTGGCATATTAGTTTTCAAAATGTATAAAAATGCATAAAATTTTAAGTTACATAAACTAAAATTTCATTCAAACGGATGACCTACAATGAATTATTATTAGAATTTAAACCAGGCTGGTTTTATTAGTCTACATACATTTTTACCCCAACATTCTAGAAAAAGATTAGTTTAAACCTAGGGAGCATAAATATTTTAATAATTAAAAATATTTAATTATTTAATAGTATTCAATGGATATTATACAGGTCATATTTAGTCTTCTATGTATTTTCTCCTTTTAAAAATATATAAAGCTTAAACACATTGCTTTGGTTCACAAATCTTAAGTTGTAAGATCTCTTACATGTTTGTAAAATGTATACATATAACTACATACATGCACATCTTTGAACATTTCGTAGGAGCAAGAAATGTGTCTGTACATTATTACCTAATGCTTGTAATAGTGCAAAACTCCTAGCGAGAGTGTAATTCACATCTGATAAACAAAACAAACAAACAAACAAACAAAAAAACCTTTATTCATTTGCTTTAGGAACAGAATATTTGATTTTTAAGTAACTTTTTAATGACTTGGTTTTCCCAGTAATAAAATAAGGTTATATACTCTCAAAAGGTTATTTAATTCAAGCAGAAATGAAATTACACACTGGATTCAAAGGAACCAAATAAGTAATTATTGCAAAGACAATGTTACCAGTGATCTAATTATATAGAGACTTATACTGTATGAATGTTTCCAAAAATTCTCACAAAATTTTGGCTTTCTATTACTTAATAAATCCATATTAATTTAAATTTTAGGAAGCAGCAAACTATCTTAACTATAATTATGAGTAATAATTTTGAAGAAAAGCATATATTATGAAAATATAAAATGTACTAATATGTATCAGCAAAATTAATGGAAAAAACCCACATGTATATCAAGCAATGATAAAAAAAATCCTTAGTGTAACAAATCCTATTAGATCTAAAGATGACTGGACTAAAAGAATTTCTCAAATTTTCAAGTCTTTAACTGAGAAAGAGAGGCCGCATCACCTAAAAATTCACTGTGGAAGAAATTCTTTTAAAATTGTTTTAAAAATGTGTTCATTAAGATTATGTATACGCTATTTGAATTATCACAACATGAAATTAGTGAGACGAGTAATTCTAGCAAAATTATATAGGGTGATATCATCATGCAAGTGGCCAACAAATTGTTAACTTGAGATTTCTTAGAGAAGAATAATATTTCTCAAATCTTACTTTCCCACTTAACAGCTAAAATTTTTAAAAGACAAAAGCTCAACTAAAAAGGATATCAGATAAAATAAGTCAAAATTAGTTTTAACTATATATACTGTATGTATTATTATATATACTTAATATATATTTTAGACATAATTTTCTTTAACATTTATCTGAATGAAGAATTACTTCTGTGTGTATTATTATATATACTTCATATATATTTTAGATGGATATAATTTTCTTTAACATTTATCTGAATGATGAATTACTTTTGTTGGAAAGTTAAAAGGGCTCTATATTAATGTTTAAGTTATTTCTGAATATTTAGCTTTACAGGGAGAACTTAATTATGGAAAACTAAATTTCTCACAAAAGTTATTTTCCTGATACATGTCTAACTAAAATTTAACTACAACTACACAGCTGTATATTGCAAACATTTATTCCTTTTTGCATATATAGGCTTGAAATTTACAATGATACTGAGCAAAAAACTTCAATTATTTACAAGTAGAATATTTTCCCCTCCCAAAACACCCTCTCCCCCATAGTATCCCTTAATTCGGAATTAAGTGTGGAGCAGGACCAGTGTCATATCTGGCATAACTTGGGAGCTTGTCAGAAATGCAAATTCTCAGACCACCTAGACTTACTAGATCAGAAACAGTCCACGTATGGCTTAGTAATCTGTATTCTGAAAAGTCAGCTAAAGTTTGAGAACCAGTGACTTAAAAACAATCAGTTACAATTTTTCCATGTTTGAAAGAATGAAGTAGTAAGCTATCACAGTGATGATAAAAATAATAGCAACAAAACTGCCACAACTACTACCATGTATCAAATACGATGACTATACTCATGATATATATGTATGCATGTCTGTGTGTTAAATTGCATTTAATCTTCATGACAGCCTAGAGGAAAGCAACATCTACATGACATGGCCAGGCGTGGTAGTGCACGCCTACAATCCCAGCGACTCAGGAGATTGAGGCAGAAGGATTGCAGGTTCAAAAATCAGCCTCAGCAACTCAGTGAGGCTATAAGCAACCTAGTGAGACCCTGTCTCAAAAGTAAAAAATAATATGGGCTGGTGATGTGGCTCAGTGGTTAAGCACCCTGGGGTTCAATCCCTGGTACCCACCCCCTCAAAAACAAACAAAATACATGACATGTAGGCTATGGCTTTCTGAGATAACATACTTCTTAAATAGGTAAAACACATAATGTCTCATGTATTATTTTTTAATTTGCACAATTATTTCCATCCAAAATGTTAAATCATACATTCTTTTGGAAACCAAGATATTCATATTAACTTTAATATTTAACTCATTTAGTATATGGACTTGATTTGAGAAGTAAAGAAATCTGAAAAGAACAATAAAAATAAGGTTTAGCCTGCTGTATGTTTTTTATTTTGGTGTTTTGTGTTGGGGTCACTTCTTTTTTTGATCCAAGTTCTACATGAAATCTTGAGATATCAAACTTTTTTGTTATACAGATATCTGTTAAGCATTTTAAACTGTTTTCTTAAAATGTAAGTTATCAGTTTACTAAAGCTGATTCAAAACCACAAACCAACTCAAAACTAATAGCTAAAACATTATCCAAAGAACTGATTGTGAGCATTGTTTGTTTAAATTTTATTGGTTTTAAGTAAATTTAACTACTGAGTTTACAATCCTAAGAATCATTAATAGAAAACCAATTCAGGAAAATAACTGGTGAAATTGGATAATACAGGCTATATTCTTAACTGAGTAGACTTAAGTACACACAAGGTAGTGGACACATGTGAAATATATGTTTACACTGATGGAAATTTTGCACATGGGACAGTTATAAGGGCATTTTCGTGAGGCAAAAGTTGCAAAACCAAAATAAAACAATCAACTTTTCCGCACAGCCCATTTCCCCCTCATATTTAGCATAGTTGTCACCGAAGTAGTAATGGTTAATCCTTGCAATTTTCTTCCTTTAAATGATTTGCAAATAAACATTCATGTATCTTTCCCATAATGAGTGCAAGTATAAAAAGCCTTTTATGTACTCCTTTTAGGGAAATCTCATCCTTGCTTACAGTAACAATAACATGAAAATACATGACTTGTCCTGTAAAAGGGTATCTTTATTTTACAATTCATTAGACAAAAAAAAATTTCAAATGTTATAAAGTCTTGTGCAAATTTACAAATCTCTTCCCAAGTTTACCTATTATAGTGAAATTAACTCTTTTTACATTGTCCTAGAGGTAAAATCAAGTCAAGCACGTAGAGAAAAAAATGATGTGGGTAGATCTGGCACATTATTGGAATGGACATATTGGTACACATAAACAGAATAAAAAGCACACTTCTTTTTTAAAGTCTAGATTTACACAGTTGCACGTTGAAAAAAATATACCTTAGCTACTTTCCTCCAGTTAAGACAGTCAAAGAAGTAATATGTTCCCCTCTCGTATGTATTGGTTTTCATTGTTGGTTCCATGCCTGGTGCTCTGGTAATCCATACTCGTTCTTCTTTGTGGTATCTCCAATCACGATTAAAACTTCAAATTTTAAAAGAAAAGGGTAATTATTTCCTGTGGCTCACATCAAACATTTCCTATATTTTGAAAAACCTTTCTCAGAAAAAATTACACACAAAAATATACATAAATATGGATTCTTCTTACAAGGCTTCTGAGTCTTTACTGTTACTAAATACAACACTAATGGAATATAGAAAAATAATTTTTAAATTTATCCAGAAAGCAAATTTATTACTAAATCCCATACCTTTATTTAACGAAAGTTAATTTTTTATGCAAACAAATGAGATGTCAAAAGTCCAATGAGTAATAAAAACTTGGGCAGACCAAATAAAGATTCAACATGTTCTAGAAACTTCATTCCTGACTTGCTCTTCTGAACACTCAACAGATATTGAGATGTTTATTATTGAATTAAACTTTTAAATTGATGTAATTTTATAACTATGTTGAAAACAATATCCATTTTGAAAAATTTAATGATTGTATTACTTTATTTTTTTAACTCAAATATTATCAATCCAAAATTCTCAAAATCTTATTAGAGTTCATGCAAAAACTAGTGAGGATTTATACAACTTAAAAATTGTGGAATATTCAGAATTAGTTAATGTCCCCCAAAAGGGACATTAAAGACTTCATGTAAATAAACACTTTCCTTCCAACACAATGAGGTAGTTTTTAGACATAAAGACAACAATGGCTAATTATAGATGGATGAGTCAATTTACTTATGAACAAATTAAAGGAACAAATGATAATTCCTATTTTATAAAAATGAGGGAAAATGGGAAATTTCTCTCAATTGAAATAAAAACTTATACAATTCATTATCAACACAGTCATTTTAAATACATTTTGAAGTATTGGATTCAAGGCCATTTATAAAAACATAATTAGAAAAACTATAATAATGTGGTCCTTATGATAATACTAGGATAATATGGACCTTATTTTATAGCACTTCAAAATGCACAACAAATAGGCACAGTGCCTTGCCTATATAATAATCAACAAATGTTTATTGGTTGATGAAATTTGGTTTCTAATTAATATATGTGGTTCCATAAGGACTAAAAAGAACCACAGGCATACCTTATAATTCATACATTTAACAAAATGATTCACCAAATCTGAGTCAAGTTGATTGTTTTCTTATAAATTTGGCATTATTTAATTGTGAAATTCTTTTTATGTATACGATTATGAAGCCACTGTAATTATATAATTTCAATCTAAAGGTATTTTATTAAATGTAAAAATAAACTTATTGATAAAGATTTTTACTCAACTATGGCATTATCATTTTAAAAAGTTTTCGGAATAGTCAAGATTCACTATAATAAAAAAGTGATTAAAAAACTTTCAACATACAGCTCTACTGCAGCTAAAAGTTGTAATACGTCTCCTCCATTCATGTAATAGAGATAGAAGAGAAGGTCTTCTCCATATCGACCAAGTTTTATTGCAGCCAGCTAGAAAAGAAAAATTATTCTGAAATGTTAAATAAATCTAAAATCTTAACATATAATTGCTATCACTGACGTTAAAAAAAAAGAAAAAGAACAAAGATCTTAAGATACACAGAAACTTATTTCATAGCAGGTAACTGGTTTACTCAAATGACAACAATTATGTCTGTTACTTCTATTTGATAATATCAATGGGAAAAAGCTAAATAAAAATTTCCAAGTGAAACCAAATATTATCATCTCACTACATGGATTTATTAATATCCAATGTGGCAATAACACAAGAATATTGTGCTCAAAGATCTAGAACTTAAATACAAGTCCTAATTCTATGACCACATTCAAGTTATTTAACATCTATGAGCTTCGGTTGCAAAATGTGGAAAAAGACACCTACGAAAGTTACTAAAAAGTAAATGAATTTAAATGAGTGAGGGTTTATGAAAGAATCATGTATACAGAAGGCTTATAATAAGTGTAGACTGAATCTATACCTGACAGTGATTCACAAATCACTTGGTTCTGTTTTCAGATGGGAATACAGAATTATGATTTAAGTGACTATATTTCTCTTCACAAGGTAGAAAATAACCAGTCACCAAACTATAAGTGAGTTCAACAGTCTCAAATTTTCAAATTAAAATAAACCTTAAAGGCACCCCAAAACAACAATAACAAAAAATGTGTCTGTTTATCTGATGTTTTACACCTAAGTGTTTACTTGGCTGTCACACATTCTTGAATGTTATTTTTCTCCCCATTCATGTGACCCCTGTTCAGGTGGCGGTTACCAAATGCAACCGATTTTCAGCATTTCTCAAACTGGTCTAAGGAAATGTTCTGCAACCAATATGTAAACTGGAGCAAAAGAGTTCTATAGTAGAGATGACAGAATATCACAAAATCCACAAATGAAAAATACCAGCACTCCCTGTTATCATAATTCTTGTTTTCCACGTATTCAGACACTTAAAAGACATTTTGGGATATATTTCTCTCTTTATCTGCCTGTCCACAACATCAATATCCATTTGACCATACAACTGTGTGGTACATAATCAGAATGCTGTCATTGAAATACAGACACACACACACACACTCTCTCTCTTTCTCTCTCTCTCTCTCTCACACACACACACACACACACACACACACACACACTTCCATTAAGTCATCTTTTCACAATTTCAAAAATTTAGATTTCATTTTTTTTCATTTGAATTTTTTTCTAATGGAAATGAACTCTACCATTTTCTTTCTTACAGTGAAAGAAACAGATAAAAACTGTAATCTGTTAATAATTACTTTATAATTAGAACTGTAGGTAATTAAAACAAAGTAAAAGAAAAAAAAGCCAAGGTCATAAATAATTTTAAAAGATGTACAGTTGTTCCATTAAAAAACTGCACCTATGTACTATTTTTAAGAAAAACTCTTTCTCATGGATAAGGCATAAAATAAAAATATCAGAAGAAAATTTATCAAATTTTCCACAAGTTTATTCCCACTGAATGTGGTTATGGTTACATCCTTTTAATAACTGTGATAAATATTTTACCAGTCCTAACATTGTTTTACTTTTAAACTACAATCTAGGACTTTATCAAAATATTAAGATCATAAACAAAAATAGAAATAAAACTGTCATATAAGTTGAATGAAGATACAAAAGCATATCCCCAAGACCACTGTTAATTATTTTAAAAATATTATGCTGTCTAAACTGAAAATCGGCACCTGAAAAATAGATAAAATTCATGCTGACTGAGTAGAATAATAAACTACACTCACCTTATCCCTAATGTGAATGTTCGTTAAGTACTCAGATGGAACATGGAAGTCTGGATAATAGAATGAAAAAAGCCTTATTAACTGATTCTCAGTTATAAATATCTTTCAAAAAGTTCTCAACATAAACAGCTTCTCCTACCTATGTCTTGAGGTCGACAAGGTGAAGATGCCCAGGGTGATGCAAATTTGGGGTAGAGATTTCTGAATAAGGGGTGAAAAAAAAACCACTTTGAAATCCAAAGTAGAAAAACAAATTTCTAATCTAATTTCACAAAAACTAGGAAAAACAGACCTCAAATATAAAATGACCATCTTTACTTCTAATTTCTTGGGTTTACTATGACTTACACAGCAGAAAACTGAAATACATATCTATACATATGAAAAATACAGTGGGATTGCTTCTTTCAGTATTCCTGTAATAATATAAACAAGTTATCACAATATTTTAAAAAAGTATGATTCAAATTTCCTATTTTTAAGTGACTTCAACTAAGAATGCTTTAAATTCATCAATATTATGCCTTCAAGTTAAATTACTTTCCCATTTATATGAACCTCCCACAATAGTAAGAGCAAATTTCAAATTCACCAAATATTTACTGAGTACCCATTATATGTCTGGCACTGCTTTAGGTGCTTGGGATATATAAGTAAACAAAACAAAGATTGCTGACTATATAAAATTTACTTTCTGATTAAGTGTGAAAGATTAGAGATGTAAAAAAATTTAGGATAATATATAAATAACCCATGTTAGGGGAAGAGAAATGATTGCATAATTAAATAGGGTGGTCAGTTTAGGTACCACTGAGAAGGTCAGATCTGGACAAAGACTGAAGGAGATAATCATATTAACTACCAGGTAGAAACTGTTCTAGTTAGACTCTTCTTAGATCAACTAAGGCAGGAACATGATTGAAATCTTAGGTATAGCAAGAATGCCAGTGAAGATGGAACACAGTGAACAAACGAAAAAGCTTTTGAGGTAGGGTTTGGGGAGACGAAATGACTAGGCAAGATGTTGTAGGGCTATAAAAATTGGGGGGGGGAGGGGTTAATTATAATGAAACCACAAATCCTTAATGGGTACTGAGTAAAGGAATAACTTATTTAAAAAGGATTGTCCTGGCTACTACAATATTTAGAAACTAAAGAATTGGGAATACCTGATAATTGGTTAACAGAACAGCCAGACAATAGAGGATGGATGTTGATTCAAATCAGACTAGTAGCAGTTTAAATATATACATAATCTGATCACAAATTATGTATATATTTTGGAAAAAGACTAGATATAGGGTACAAAAGAAAAAGGGAAGTTAAAGATGATATTAAGCTTCTGGAAGTATAAACCAAGATTAGGAAGGCTACAGATGCACTAAATCTGAGCAAGATCATCTCAATAATATTTAATTGAATCTGGAAATCTCAAGTCCAGGAGAGAAGCTGGAGAGGGTTCCTCAATATATATGGTATTTAAAACCATGAAACTGGTCTCTAAGAGAGTAAATAGATAAAAGAAGAACACAAAAAGGTCAAAAGAGAAGGAGGTATCAGCAAAAAATAAAATAAAATAAAAAGAACCAACCAGTGAAATCAGATAAGAATTGTGTCTTCCAATTCAAGGAGAAAGAAATTCTAGAAGAAACCACTGAATTTACTAATATTGGAGGCTATTTGGTGACCTTCATAAGTACAGTTTTAGTGAAATGGTGGGGACAAAATCCTGATGGACAAATTGGAGAAACAGGCGATTATTCTGAACAGTTTTGCTTTGAAGAGAATAAAGAAATAGGACATAAACTCAACAAAGAAGGAGGCTGGACCAAGACAAGATTTCTTTTTTAAAACGGGAGAAGTAGTAGTATATTTGAATGCTAATGGAAATAATTAAGTGTGAAAACTGTCATATCCTTGAATTTTCAAGAGAGTGTTAGAGTAGAAAGTAAAACAGTAAAAGATAAGAATAAAGTAGTTGCAGATGGCAGTAGAAAGTGCCCATGTTCTCTTTTTTTTTTTTTTTGGTACCAGGGATTGAACTCAGGGGCACTCAACTACTGAGCCACATCCCCAGTCCTACTTTGTATTTTTTGAGAGAGAGAATCTCACTGAGTTACTTAGTGCCTTGCTTTTGCTGAGGCTGGCTTTGAACTCACAAAACTCCTGCCTCCGCCTCCTGAGCCACGGATTACAGGCATGGGCCACTGCGCCTGGCCCCATGTTCTTTTTTGATTGATCCACCCTCCTTCTTAGAAAAGTACACATAAAAAGCAAGGTCATCATCTGAGAGTAAGGACAGGGAGAGAAGGTATTAGGGGTTTGCAGAAATGTAACATAGTTGTTTAGAAAAGAAAAAAGAATAGACTAGGCATCTCAGGTATAAGTAGATCTGGCAAAATTAAGGATCTGCTTTTGAGGTTTGGCCATAATGAAAGGCAGTAAAGTTGTATGACTTTACTCTGAGTTCAGCAGCACACTCAGGAATAGAACAGGCAGAAAAACGACCAGGCTGTAGTTACATGCAAGTGTTAGAAAGTGAAAGAGGGGCAAAGAAGTCAAGGGTATATGTAAATGAACAATTATGACTGACCACAGCATTTAATCAATGAGAAGGAAATGAGTTCACAAAAGGGAAAGACGGACAGGTATACCAAGGAACGGTGAAAATGTATAAGAATCAATGGATTAAAGGTCCCAAAGGAGTAGGCTGGGGTTGTTGCTTAGTGGTAGAGTGCTTGCCTGGCAAGTGTGACACACTGGGTTTGATTCTCAACATCGCATATAAACAAATAAACAAAATAAAGGTCCATCAACAACCAAAAAAATACATTAAAAAAAAAAAAAGGTCCCAAATGATTATAAGAGTTATAATACTAGAGGGAGACAGATAGAAAACAGAAGTAATGGTCAAAGCATAACAGCATCACTTAAAATGATGCAAAGACTGTAATTATTAGCAATGACAAATCAAAAGGATAACGTAAGGTGTGGCTGAAGTATGAGAAAACAAAGTTTTTGGAAAAAAGACGTTCAAGGAACCAAGATTTCAGGATTTTTTTTAAAGGATCACATATACATCTATAATAGTGGACCCAATTATAAGAGGAATAATAATACAGATGACGATGAATCAGGTACTAATATGACACAAATAACCCAAAAAGTAAGCAGGTAACAGTAACAATGAATGTCAGCAAAAGATATAATTGGTGATACGATAAAAAGCTACAAGTTTAAGATTAAATAGTAGAAATATTATACGCAAATGTGAAAAAAGAAACAAACTTACTCAGGAGAGTTCAGATTGAGGCCTAATGTTGTTAAGTCACTTCCTAAAGCAAGATGTACCATTCCTGGGTCTGTCTCTGCTGCCCTGATAAATGTTAACAGGCCAATCATTCCAAATTGGTCCGTCACCATTCCTTGAGGAATGTTAGTAACCCGACCTGGATAAAAAAAGTCATTTTTATTTGTGAGGAAAAAGTAAAGAAAATGCATTTTATAATATCTTTGACATATTTATAGAGTCCCACCATCAGGTAACACCTGGATCCCTTTTTTCTGCTGATTATTATTTTGTGTTGTTGAACTTTTATCTCCAGGGAATTTGGGTCCATCTGTACTTGAAGTTGGCTTGCCAGATGTATTCAAATTCTAGCATGAAAAAAATTAAATGTGACATTAAAATGCTTTAAGTACATACATTCACGTCAGTATATTAATCCCTTACTATTCATTCTTTACCATATTTAAATTGGTAGTACATTTTTACCTGCTTTTCAAGTTCTACATGAAAATTCTGTTTCCATAATTGTCCCATGGTATATGAACAAATCCCATATCATCCACATTTAAAGATCTAATGGACAAGAAATCCAGGGAAAATATTCTTAACTATGTTGGATCTTAAATCAATGAGAAAAACCCCTCTCGGGCTTCTGCTTTGAGATACACTATTAGTTACACTCTTCGATATTTTCACTTAGAAGAACTAAATAGTACATTACCTAAAATATCACCAAAGCAACCTCTAAGACTAGCTAGAAACACGGACTTTAAAAAAGTTAAACTTATTAGAATTCTTACCCAATCATCTTTTTTATTATTGATTTTAATAATATACAAATTCCCGTCACACATACAAAAGGCTATTTTCAGTGAAATGTGGAACAAATAAATACATTTGTTAAGGCAGAAAGAAGCTGAGTTGGCTGAATCAACACAGGTATAAAAATGTGTATAAAGATTCTTCAAGGAGAAAACTTACTCAAGAAAAACACAGCTCCTTAGAAGGCTATATTATCAAACTTCATGGGATCCAGCTGACAGGGACTACAATAAAAGTCTAAATTAACTCTGAGAAGTTCAACAGAAATTTGCATACCTATATGAAATAGGAAAAAAATAGGCTATCTTCTAAGTTATAAAGCTTTACTGCATTCTTCAGAAGTTAGGTTATTACAGATATTCAAGATAAACAGTTTCATAAAAGTATTTAGTAAGTAACTGTTAATATAAATCTGAAGGGAAGAAAACTATATCACTCACATATACAATTCTCAGTTACTTACAGATTTACTGTCATCATTACTTGATGTTGGATCTTTATAGCTGGAACCAGGTAATGCTGGAAAATCTTCATTGTGTATTGAGAAGTCCTGGGATTGCTCATTTGCTGGTTTTGTTACCATTCCAACTATGTAATAAAAATAATCCAGAGAATTGCAATTGATATTCATGATATTTTGCTACATGCTATAAAAAGTTAACTTTCCTCATCATAATATACCACAAGATTTTTTTAATGTTATGAAAGCATACTTCAAAAAACTAGTAATCAGGACAGCAATGAAGAACTAAATTTTGGTGTACTGATTAAGAATTCAACACACAAAGTAATGCAAGGGAAATTAGTGGGTAATCCCGTAATTCTAATCTAATGCCATACATAGGTTCTTAAAAATATGATTTGATATGATATTGGTAAGGATTATTAAAATTTTTTGTTTAAAAACGTGCTTTAAATATTTGGCTAAATATTATAAATACTAGTTAACTTTCAAATAAAAAATGAACAAAATAAATTTTAAAAGAACATGGAAGTATTCTACTTGAAAGTAACTTACAGAGTGAGCAAATTGCAATCAATTATAAAACAACTCCATATTATTTCAGATTTTCTTGGATTCCATGTTATAGATGTAAAACATGCAAGATCTGGGAAATAATCCTCCCACTATACTTGGCATTAGTCGGGCCCTTATTGGAGAACAATATGCAGTTTGGGGCTCCACAATTCAAGAACGATATGGAGAAACTAGAGATGGTCCAAGAAGAGCAACGGGAATGATTAAAGGGATGAAAAAATGGACCTATGAGGAAAGGTTAAAAACATTAGAGTCTCAACTGAGAACTAAGCAGCTAGGTACTCAACTTCCCAGACAGATCAATTTTTGGAAGATTAATTTAGAAACTTTAGAATATGAACAATAAAACTTTGCCTTTTTTACATATTCTGAAAGACACAGAAATTGTTCTTGGTTGATAATGGGAAAAATATTATTAGTTCTACTTTAGAATAACTGATGAACTGATCCCTTTTCTAAATGCATTGTTTTGCTCTTTGTCTCTATTAGGAGTCTTCCCAAAAGGAACCAACTATGTGGCAGAATTTGGGTATACCGCCATCACAGAATTTTCACGTCAAAACTGCTATACTGTTGTTGCATCCTTCCCTCCCTTTATTTTTATTTAACTTTTATTAGCCAAATCCTTTATCTATTAGCACAGTGAAAAAGGATGATGAAGGGTATTAATGATGATCAAGAGTCTACATAAACTATTATATATTCCCTGAACAGTGGTTCTCAGTAGGGGTTATTTTTTCTCCCAGGGGACATTTGCCAATGTCTGGAAACAACAATGATTGTGCTGGCAGCTTGTGGGCTTAAGGCAGGAATGCTGCTAAACATTCTATACAAACAGGATAGCACGTCCAAATCCCCTGTCTACAAAGCATTATTGAGTCCAATGTCAGTAGTGTGAATGTCAAGAAACCTTGGTTTAAAGAAACATCTTTAATGTATAGACATTCATTTTTAATAACTAGGAATACATGCTTTTGAAAAAATGTGGGATCAATTAAGGCAAGTTTTAAAAGGCAGACCACATAGCCACTTAGGTGAATGCAGAGATATCAGCAGAAAATAACTTTTGAATAACAATAAGGACTTCCTTTTGGGTTTCTGTACAGTTTTACAGTTTACATATTCTGAAAGACACAGAAATTCTTCTGTGTGAATTCTGACGAAATTATACTAACCTGATTGGAAAACACAAATATATATATATTTGTGTTTTCCAACACACACACATGCATACGTACATATGTGTACATGCAAAAGAAAGTTTGCATTGGCCATCATAAAAAAGCTTAATTACCATATGGAGCTCTTCCAGCCAAGGGGTTTATTAATGGAGTTGGGTTACCACTTCCTTCCCTTCTGTTTCGGTCTGCTAATGCTGGAAAATCTGAAAGGTCCAATCCTGTCACATTTTCACTTCCATCTAAATAATAAGAAAGAATAATATTTATTGGTTCCACAAACATTTAAACCAAGATCGTAAAACCCAATCACAATATAAATTGAGACAATAGTGCCTTGTTCCTAAATAATGTATTAGGTTATATGGAGGTGCTCAAAAGATACTTGTGGAATGATTTCATGAACAACTGAGGAAAACAATATGCAACCAGTGTATTAAAACCCCAAATCCTGGAAACCTAAGAGAATATGGAGTGAGACTGTATATTATTCCCCCCGCTGGAAGATGGCAACCTAAATTTACAGCTTATTAGCTAACAAGAGGGAGATTGTTGTAAATGATATCTTCATTGTATTTGGTGGAGGTTTTATGTGGAATGCTTGGGAGCTTCAGTTACACACACATGTGACAATAAAATTACCTCCAAATGGCTAGAAAGAGACTGGGGGACAGTGAAGAACACCTGAGGACTTCTTCCCTGTAACCTACTGGTTTCATATACAAATATGTGTGTGTGTGTGTGTGTGTGTGTTTATTCTGGGGACAGAGGTATAAGTAGGATTCCCATGTCTGGGGAGTAACTAGGAAACAGATCGACCTCAGAAGTTTGTATTACCTATTACACAGTAGGCGCTCAATAAATATATACTAAATATATGAAATTTATTTTTACTCATTTAAGCCAGTCTGCTTCCTTTAAAATTAAAATTTAACCCAACTTTTCTACTTTGCCTACAGTAATCATCTCTTGATTTTTTTCAACTTTTAGTATTCTTACAACCTTTATTTTAATTTTTGAAGAACCTAATTTTCTACACCTCCAATTCACCCTATGCTACCGCTTTAATTTTTATTTCATTTTTTTGCTTTATAACTATTTTCAAATTTTTGCTATTATCAAATTCATTCTCATTTTTCTCTGAATTTTGTAATTAAAGGAATCTCAACTATTACCTTCGATTATTTTGTTTAAAGGAAAAAAAAATACTCCATTAACACAGGTGATAATTTAAAACTACAAGGGTAAAGATAAATGATTCATACCCCCATCGTTTAAAAATTAGTTTATAAATTTTCAACTAAATATACTATTATGTGAACAAGACAAAAGAAATTTTAAAATTACATATTGTTTCCACTTATAAAATAATATCTTAAATTATCTGATTACACAATAATTACAAACTTTGGATATATGTTAACTTTTAATATGACTTTAGGACTTACAAGATGCAATTCAAAATTGCCATTATTTGAGAATATATTTTAACCTAAAAAGTTAATAAACTCCCAAATTTGTATTTTTAGGGAAAAACTTGAAAATAATTTTCCCACATTAAAAACACTCAGTTAAAAGAGAATTTTAAAAAGAATTCTAAAATTTTATAGCAGTGTACAGAACCATAATTCAGAATCTAAGATGACACTGTCAGATACACTGTTACTTTATGTTCCATTTGTGGAAAAACCTGACTGAACTGTGGCATGCAGCCTGATTTCACAGATAATTATAATATAAAAATATGTACATTTTAGAAACAATGAGATATAGTACTTTGTAGTATTTTAACACCTTGAACACAAAACCACCACATACAAATGCTGAATTTGGAATTTTTTTCAAATGATTTAATCATGGTCAACCTATGCTGCTGAGCATACATTAAAATTTTTAAAATTAAAAGCCCATAGCCACCAATGACATTTCCTTATTAAATTTTCTCTCATGCTTCCAATATATACACCATTTCACTAATTGTTCTTTCACCTACTTCCTCCTTTACAAGTATTTCTCTCCCAGAAATCCAGCCCAATTTTGCTCCAATAATCATAACAACATCCTTTATTTCCTTTCTCAGGAAAGGGTCTGGAGGCAAGGGTGAAGAGAGTAAAACCTAAAGCAAAATAGCAACGCTGCTCCCTATTTGCTTCTGGCTGAAGCAGTTGATAAAAGAAATAAACCAACAGACTACAGGAACTTTTTGTCAAAATGAGAATTGGTTCTTCATGCAACTAAATTTTTGAATTATGTACATACAACTGGGCGAAAAATTCAAAAGGGTTAAACACCAAAATTAGTATTAAGAAAAGAATGGTAAGCGCTCCATATAATCGGAAAGGTTTTCTGTATCTCTATAATCAGAATATCATACCACCCAAACTAGTCTAGATTATTGTTTTCCTAGTGACAGGGCTGAGGACAGAAAAAGTTTTGTGAAGTAAAAAGAATTCTGAGGCATAAATATAGACTAAATTAATGTTTAGGCTCTTCCACTGTGTCAAGGAAATAATCCTGATGTTATAATACAAATCACTATGGTATTACCATGCCAAGTAAAAAAAAAAAAGTCTTTAACTATATCTCTCTACCATTTATTAAAGCCTATTCCTAATAATTTCTCACTAAATTAAATTCTACCACTTAACACAATAAGAAATTCTACAATATTTAAAGACCAGTATGTTGAATTGCTTTATATTTCAGAAATCTACTGTATTTTTTATAGGGTACTAGCTCCAGAATAAGCTTACCTGTTCCATTAAAAATGTTACTTGATAAGGAGTTATTCATTCCAAATGCCTGATTCCTGTTCATTCCAAATCCAGACATACTGGGTACATAGAAAATAATTTTAGATATACAGTAAGAATACTAACTTTGAGATGAAGAAAAACAAAAGTGTATACTTTTGGTCTCCTCATACAAACAACAATATGCTTCAAAATCAATACTGATTTTATCTTTTTGAGTTTAATCTTTATTTTTATTTAAAAGCTTCTCTAAAAGTCTTTTCATGAACAAGAGAGAACTAAAACATCTTAAACAGATTAATTAAAAAAAACAAACAATTTATGAATGAAACTTCAAGAAAACAGAGGCTAAAGGGTACCATTTTATGTCCCTCGTGAGCCAATTTACTGGACACTAAAAGTATTCCTAATCTCAAAAATATGCAGGTAGGTTTAAGACTATTCTTCCTGAAAACTTGTTTTACTTTACTTCCTTTACTGGTGAAACTTATTAATACTTATCATAATATATCCTCCCAACCAAAATATAAACTCATGGATAGAGTCCATGTCATATTCATCCTTGCATCCTCTGCCCTTTAGTGTTTATTAAGATATAACAGGCACTCAACAAATGTTTACTTGACCTGAATTAAATGATGCTTTTTAAAAACTGAATTGAGTGTTCTAAAACACATCATTTTTATCTAATAGTTTACTTTTCATCTATTTAATGGAAAGAATATCTCTCCATAGTACCAATTCCAAATTAATGTATGACTGGTATTTTGTAAATAATTACAAATGCCTCTATCCACCTACTTGTTATGCACAAGCCTAAGCATGACAAGAAAAAGCAAAAAAAAAAAAAAAAAAAAAGCAAAAAAAAAAAAAAAAGAAAGAAAGAAAGAAAGAAAAAAAAAGAACAAAGCTGAACTCAGGGCAAGGCAAATTAAGAATGTCAACAAGAATTATTAATGCAGATTCTATAATGAAATTATATACCTTTGACATCAAATAATGATCTGACAAAAGACAGTTAGTATATCAATGTTGAGCAGGCTTAACTTGTTTTAAGCTGAGTTTTTTCCCTCCTAAATCTGTAAAACTACGGCCAAACAACTATTGATAAAATATGCAGCTAGAGAAACAGCACTCTAAAGAAGAGCAGGTAAATCAATGAAAATATTTGTTTAACATGTTAGAACTGCTGATGATATAGGTACCCTCAAACATGGAGTAAGTGTTCAAAGATGAGAACATTTTATAATAAATACAACTTATAATAATAAAAATAAGCAGGGACTTAGAGATTCACTTTACGTTGACAACTTATAACAGTATTTTTTTAAAAAAACAAAATGAAAATATATGGAAAGGCAAAAATTCATACATTCAATGAACAATATTACAAGAATGCAGAAAGATGTGATAAAGCCTAAGAAATATTATATGGTAAGGAAGCTATCAGATGAGAATTTTGATGACCCTTGACACATAATTTTTTAAAAAATTAAAGAGCAATAAAATTATAAAAGAAATACTATGAATCTACATAAAAGAACTGGAGCTTATGGGATGAAGAACAAACAGGAAATGTACTAATAACCTATTTTAATCCAGATACTACAAGTACTAGAAAGAAGAAAGCAAATTAATGGGCATAATGATAATACTTAGCTCAAGATCCTACAGCACTCCCACAATCCCCCATTTTAAAAAAAAGTGTGTGTGCAATCAAGCTTAAATGATGTTTTTCAAGTCTTATATTTTAGATATAACTCATATAAATTACCCAAACAGCTTGAAAATACTAACAAAATAGTTCTCATTTGCACAGTATATGCAAATGGACAATGCAAAAAGGAGTGAAAAAACACAACAACTTTATGTTTTTGTTTCGAATCCCTAAACACAATACTATTTTTAAATACTCTTCACATAACCTTACAAGTCTTTGGTCAATAAGCCTCCAAAGTACAAAACGAATTTCACTGAGAATATATTTAACCAAAGCAAAGCAGTAATAGTCAAACATGTCTCTAGTCCTATTCACCAATCTGGAACTCTTACCACACAGGTGACCAACCTCAATTAATAAAGGTAGGACATATCAATAAAAATTTGCCTGGTGGCAACCCAAGAACAATCCTTTTCTAGCAGCAACAACAACAACAACAAAAAGATTTAATGAGCTTTCTAAAATCAAACTTAATTCAAAAGAATGTATCTTTAGTTTTACAATTGTGATATGTAACAGAATCTTTGCTCATAAATATATGATGAAACACACTTATGAGACAGAAGCCAAGACTCAAGAACAAAGCATTGAATATGAAAAGGAAAATCTGAAGATACCCAAAAAGACAATTATACACAGTATCAATAAACATCTTACCTGTTCACAGTAAAAGGCTGTCGAGAAGGCTGCTGCTTTGGCATACATATTATGCTTGGCGAGCTTCTGTTGGGGCTACCTAACCCTGAACTGCTCATGCTATTTGTCCTGCTAGGAATTCCAATGCCCTGACCAACCTGGGAGTGGTTCATCATATTCCTAGGATTCATAGGCAAAATACCCCTGAAAAAGAAGTCCATTATACTAAATAAGCTCTCTACAATCACTCATTAAAATTATCTATAAATAATCAATTGGTATAATCCTAGAATCTCAAATATACTTTCAAACTGTATTCCTACATTTTATTAAATTCTTTATTTTAGTCATTCTAGTTTTTTAAAAAGAAAAATTAAAGTAAACAAACCAATTTAAAAACGGGCAAATTATAGTGGAACTAAATAGGTGACATCTAAAATGAGAGAACTACTGGTGTGACTAGGATAAAAATTAAATGTATTTCACATATATTTAGAATAATTTTACTCCAAATTCCTGTCATTCTATCCTCTTCATACTAATATGCATAATCTGCATAATCTACATCCTCCTTTTCTTTTACTCACACTAAAGTAATAAATGTGTGGTGAGAGAGCAAGGATCAGAATTATCTGGGGAGTCATTTTAAATTGTACATCTTTGAGGAAGAGAGATATGGCTTTTGAAAAAGCTCCCCAGGAAGAGATTAACCCTTGATATTCACCCACTGGACAACTAGTATGCTAGCTATAAAATAAAAACATCTTGCACTAATCAATCGGCAATGAAATAAAATGCGCCTAGGTATTTTTGTTTTCTTGGTGAAAGGCACTGAACCAGAAATTCAATCATCACCTTGTTAAAAAATTAAAAGCTTGCTTGCTCTACAAAGATACATTTTTTTTTTTGGAGAAATATTCTGGTCCACCAATAAATACCTGCTTGGAGATGGAGGCGTGTGAAGTGACATTGTTGGTACCCCTGTTGTTGGCGTGACGTGGCTCGGTAACTGAGTGCCTTGTGATAAGCTGCGATTTAACTGAGGGGTATTGTTGCTCATTCCCCTCATTGGAAGGCCTAGTGCACCTAATAAAAAAATTCAGAAGAAGGAAATTCATTGCCATCAGGAATGAAATTGTTATCCATCTTCTGGAGCTGGCAATTTAAAACATTTTAAAATGACCTAATGTAATATGCAAGTTTTAAATGGATATATTCAATTTACTCCAAATGGACTGTGATTTTAACAAAAAATTCTAGTCTGAAATCTCATTTTGAATGAATATCATTTTCATATTTCTATCTTACAATAAACTATGTCTGTCAATGATTATGTTACAATATTATACTATGCTTGATCTTAGCCAAAAAGCCTAGAAGCAACAGAATGCTACAATATTATGAATGAATAGTTTTCAAATTTATTAAAGGCAAATTTGCAAAATTTGTACAGACAAATATACCTTTAAGAAATTTTGCAATCTTGTGTGTTTCTGTTTAAATTCACAACTGATGTACACAGAAAGACATCCACCCCCCCTTTGCAGAAGTAGGTTTAATTTTTATATGATCCTTTTAAAATGTATTTGAGAAATTTCTTTACTATTATACATCTCTCAGTATTACAATTGTTACAAACCCAACATAAAATGCCAACTGTTTAAAAAAAAAAAACCTGATAAAGACATAGCAACAAAAAATTTAAGACATTTAAAAAGATTTCGAAGTATAATGATTTTGTTCATCTAGTCCTCCTCGGGTCAGATGTAGGGATGGTTATGTTCCATATGTGTTATTTTTAAGATTAGTAAGGGTTTTACCATTGAGATATAAAATATTTTTTTTTTAAAAAATTAACCAATCTGGACAAATTTGTTTTAAAAATGTATTGACATTTATTGACTTTTATTCAGATAACATGAAATTGTAAGTTATTTTCTTAATGATACAGAGTAATTATCATGGATAGCTAATGTTATATGTATATGTTTATTTTTTACCCTTTTATTCCTCAAAGTAAAGATGTACAGCTGTCATTTGTGTTGTCATTCTGCCTGAAAATGTTTCCTTTCCTTCATCATCCTTACCCATATTTTTAATGTTTTCTGTTTCTAGTCTGCTGAGGAATGGCACATTGATCAACTAAATGTATTGTAAGTTGGAAGTTAAGTGAAAGTAATAAGACAGAGGAAGAGCTAATTAGTAAGTAGGTGATGTTAGTGCTAGACATCCCCCACCCACCCACACACACACCTTACTGGTCTAATTTGGATCTAAAACTTTCAAAGACCTGAAGATTTTAAAAACTATGACCTCCAAATAAATACAGTTCTGTATATACCATGAATATTTTCTTTCAAACATCTTTATAAAATTTATTGGCATGACAATGTGTCACTTTCCCAGTCACATAAAGGGAACTGACTTGGTCACTGCATTTATTTTGTTTACTCTTAAATTTTGTGAACATGAGGATCCCATTAGCTATAGCCACTTTCTCTGAATATGGGATAAAATAAGGAAGTACAAGAGATTAAAAAATCAGCTAACTTAAGATTTTCTCTTCAAAAGAAATTGGTCATTTCCCTCTCTCCTCAAGCATATCAGTTTTCCTCCAGGCCCCCTAGGTGCTCCCATAACAGATAACCAAAATCACATTTTCCCATCACTCATTCAAACATTCATTTCTGAGTGCCTACTGCATTAGCTTCAGGTGATATAGCAGTGAAATAGAAAGAAAAGGCTCCTACCTAAGGGACCTGAAATCCCTATTCCCCAAACAGGCTGTCCTGTAGTCAGCCATAGCTGCAAATTTCCTATAGGAGGATGTTTCCCATAGTTAATGTTCTCTAAAAAAAATACACCATTTTACATCCAGAAATGACCCTAGTACAATGTTGACATATTACAGATTCGGAATCTGAGGCTCAGATAAGTTAACTGACCTCTCCAAGGTGACACAAAGAACCAGGACAAGAAATTAGATCTCTTAACACCCAGTGTTCTTTAAATGGCAACACTATTGAGTGCTGAAGACAACTCTAATTTAACACTGATCTACTTATTCTACCTCAAAACTTGTTCCAAATTTCCATCTCTTGATATCTTCCCTTCATTTGCTTTCTCATTTTAATACCTGCCCATTTTTTCAAGTTTTCCTTTCCCCTTTCACTTTTTCTACCCACTCATCATTAAAACACTTTCCAAAAATCTAGTAAATGTTTGGACCCTTTTTAACATACAAGAAACCCTACAAATGACTCATGGAGATTCATCCTCTTTAACTCTGTTTACACACATTCAATGCTGTATAATAAAAATTTATAATTTCAGAAATATTTTAGAGATTATCAATATTAGCAAAGATACTTCTGAAAAAGGAAAATACACAATTTAATTAAGAATTGGCATGCTTGAATTAATTCATAGTGCTAAGAGGGAAGGAAGACTATGAAATAAAGAAAATAAATATTATTGTTTCATTTCAGACCTCAAAATTCATGTTCTTCATAAAAAGTGAATAGATAAATTTCAAAGGTCTTAGTTTAGTTTTATTGAACTAGATATAAAAAGATCATTACAAACTGGATCATTAATTCCTGAATATTTAGTAATGGGGTTATTTTAAACTTAACTTAAAATTGTGTTGTACAATAAAGTATTAATAGCACCGAATAATGAACATACAATGATTTATATTTAGGCAATAAAATATACTAAGTCATTAAATTTGAGTTACCTGAGTCAAACTATCAGCAGTGGATAGGCTGAAAGTAGGGGAAAATTTCATCTTTTACTAGAATAATTAACACAAAATCACTTCCAAACTATTAGCCCAAGAATACAGAGCTAACAAAAGATTAAAAAAAAGAATTAAAGAGATTGGACTGTAGGTTAAAACAACTACAACAGGGCTGGGGAGGTGGCTCAAGCGGTAGGGCGCTCGCCTGGCATGGGTGCGACCCGGGTTGGATCCTCAGCACTACATACAAAGATGTTGTGTCTGCCGAAAACTAAAAAAAAATAAATAAAAAAAGAAACATTGATACTGCCAAAAAAAAAAACCCACAACTACAACAGAAAACACACACACACACCCATGATCATACATGAGTAAGTGGGAGGACAGCAAAATAAAAATTTATGGAGCACTTCATAACCAAACATACTACATACTACTACTTCATTTCTTTTCCTCCTCCTCCTTCTTTTTTTTTTTTTGGTACCAGGGATTGAACCCAGGGGTACTTAACCACTGAGCAACATCCTCAGTCCTCTTGTCCTTCTTTTTAACAACCTACAGGAAAGGTATTTATCCTCTCCATTTTTTATTTATGATAAGGAATAAAAGAAAAAACAAAAAATCATTTAAATGGTTATAATACTACATTGATCTTTTTCTCTTAAAGGACTATGGGAACATATACAAGTAGATTCCTACCTCTTATTTGGCCAGGTGCTAAGCAAAGAATTAATTAAATTTCTTATTGGTCATTTTTCAGAAACCCTAAAGAATATGACCTAATGAATTATTTTTGTTGTAACAACTGGTTAATAGTGTATCTTTTTATACTTATGGCAAGACGTGCCATCCTGAATTCAATCTTTTGCTAGAGATAAACAATATTAATAATACAAGTTACAATAAAAACAATTCAATCATAGCAACCAAATCCCTCAAGATTTTTACTTAAATGAATGCTCCTGAATCTTTTTGGGGGGAGGGGGACGGAATCCTGAAAAAAGAAAGGGTAAAGTGTCCCCTTTTCCATTCTCAAAGTATCAAGCTTCCTATAGAAACTCAGTGTTACACTCACATTTAAAAAGGCCACCAACCCCAAAATGGTGCTTTCTCTCAATGTCTTCTTAACTCCAACCTCTCCTGCACTTAGCTGATTAATCTTCTCCATAAAAGTATTTCAATTTTGTAATTTCCTTCATTAAATTGAATGGATTCAGTAATAAAATAGACTTCAGAGTACAAACAACCAAATTACAGATGATGAACTCAAACCAGGCATTAAGTTACTTGCCCAAGCAATAAGGTATAAAAAGAATGCTCAGTTTTTTGACTTGTATTTCAATGCCCTTTTACAATCAATATCACTTTCCACTTTTTATAGCACTTGCTAATTTTTCCATTACCCAGGAATTTCCATGTCTAGGTCCCATCTCTACAAAATTATGATTTGGTTGGAGTCTGGATAATTCATGGGCAGTAAGATTTTAAAAAACTCCTCAAGTGTTTCTAAGTTCGGCCATGGTTGAAAACAATTATTCCATACAATTAAGTCCAATCACAGTTAAAATTCTCTCAGAACCAAAGTATTTTTTTCTTTAATCTTAACGTTCTGCTATTTACATACTACAGATTTGATTTATAATCTTTCTCCTTTGCGTAATTCTCCTCTTCAATACTGTCCCTATACCTTTACCATTCATTATCATTTTCCCACAAAGATTACTTTCCCTTCTCTTGTTCTGCAGAGATACAAAGGCCTATTTAAAAATAAATATATAAGTGCTATTACTCAGGTGTTTATTTTGTTTAGTGGGTTTGAGTACATGTAGGAGGGACTGCTAACTCAGATTCAGGGATAGAGTGGGTCAGATCAGAAGAGGGTTCCTACAGAAGATTGTTGTTTAATTAAATAATAAAAAAGGTTTTACCGTTCTACAGAATCTTTACCCGTGAAACAGCAATCTTACAAGTATATTCTGCACTTCCTCTCAATCTAAATTTCCCTTATAAATTTAAACACACTTACAAAGTAATTCAGGTCTCAAACTACAGAAATTATGCTTGATCCTCAAAATATCTCAAGTTTGACCAATTCTCAACACCTCTATCCCTAGTCCAAGTTACCCCTTCTTGCCCAGATTACTGTAGTACAGTAGCAGCCTGTTTCTTCCCCATCAAGCACACTTTCTGTACAGAAAAGAGATATTAAGAATGAAACTGCATATTAAAATCTTTGCCATTAAACTTAGAAAAATCCAAATTCTTTACCAAACATTTATAAGACTTTCTATGATCTGAAACCTGTTAATTCATTGATTTTTCTCTCTTAATTCATTACACTGGC